AATTAATTAAAATTTTACACATGACTATAGTGATAAAATAAAGGCAATTTTTATATTTTTATATAAATTAATTAAAAAATATATATTTATTACATTTTTAACTCACATATAAAGACACATGTTAAACAAAAAAAATTAAAATTTAATTATTTTGATTTTATAATCAACCACGTGCTCAAAAAAATTAAATGTGTGCAAGGATTTTAAAATTTTTATTCAAATGGTACAAAATGAAAAATGATTTAAAAATAACTTTTTTGTACTATTTTTTTTACAACTTTACATGTCATTTTAAAAATTTGTGTTTTTTATTTATTTGAAACTCATAATATTAAATACATCTACTTATTTAATGATAATTAAAAGTTATATAAAAAAATAATTCCTATATTAACACCCGTACTAATTAAAGTGGAACCCATGTATTATGTATGTGGCAAGTGGCATCGCTGGCAATGTTAAAGTGTAAAATTAGTGCCCAGGTAGCACTAAGCTGTAATTGGGAAACAAAAGCTTAACGTGCACGTGCTCCACATGACTGTTGGCATTAAATTTTGTCACATTTACCCAAATTAATTAAGGTTAAGGATAGAACCAAGCTTTCGAATCTAGCAGTTCAACTTTAAATCTAACTGCTTGAATTGAGTTTATCATAAGTTTAACTTTTATCAATCACTTGAAAAAATTTTACTTCCTTTCAAAAAATATATATATTAAGGTGAAGGATAAATATCCATGCATCGAAAGGAGAACGGCAAAAAGCCATCCTAGTGATGGCAGGGGGGTGGATTTTATGTTGCCTAATACCATTAATCATCTGGCTTTTCTTTTCCCATTTTAGCTAAATTGCTCTTTTTTTGAAGATTGCAGTTTAGTTGTGTCAATTGCGCTCTTTTTTTTTTTTTTTTTTTTTTTTTTTTTTTTTTTAATCTCACACTACTGCAGGAATGTAATATTCAGACCGACCAATCGGTCCGTATATATCCCAAATCGGTCTGAACATATATATCCGGACCGATATTGGTCCTTATAGTTAATCTGAAAAAACCTGGTACGAATAAGTATAATATACAGACCGATGTATAATCGGTGCGTATATATATACTATACGGACCGAAATCGGTCCGTATATTTCAGTAAGAAATATAAAACCTGCAACTATATCCAGACCGGTTTCGGTCCGAACATATTGGACTTGCATGTAACTTTTGAAAGTTCAGCCTC